GGCGTTAACATTCTACTAATTGGAGGCCCATCGCGCAGAAGGGTACGCGAATCCACGTGCTTAGGAGTTTGTATGGGGGGGGGGGGGGTAAGAAGTTGTTGGAGGCTGTGGGTACCAAGAAAGAGAACAAATATTATGTCCTGAAAGTGTATATTAATGGTTGAGTGATATGTGACGTGTGTTGATGGGAGAGAGACTAAGGGTAACATCTTGTTGTTGGGATGAATGAGTTGTATTGGAGGAGGGAGCGCTATGGTTCCAAGGAGCAACGAGGAAATAATTTCATACATTAAGATAGGCTCACAAAATTAGTCAACAGATACTAGAGAGAAACATGCTGAACAAACAAGAAAGGACTGCCAGAGGGGGACTCTATCCAGTTCCCTGAGGGGTGACGAGTCTAAGGGTGGCACAAAATGCTGCCACGTGGTGCCTTTACGGCAAGGTGAGAGCGCGCCAAGGGCCAAAGGAATCCTTAGCAGCCGGGCGGTAGGCCGTGGCCTTCACGCGGGCGGAGTAGGGGTTGGAGTGGAGGTGCACTATGGCGCTGTCGACGGTGGGCCACAGACGAATTCGCAGAGTGAGCAAATCGAGAGTTCGACATTAGTATCTTAACCAGTGAAGAGGAGACTGAGGTCATTGTGAAAGGTGGTGGGGCCAGTGTGGGTCCCCAGAATGTTCCCTGAGAAGGTCAGGGCAGGAGGTAGACAGAGAGAGTCCAAGGGGAGGGGGATGGGGGATAGAGGGCAGGCACACAAAGAAGACGGCAGGGACAGGGTAGTGAGAGTGGGAGAAATTTGTGCCAAGGGAATGAGGAAGCATGAAGATTGTAGCAAAACGTAAGGTCGGAAGGGAGAGGAGAAACATGGGCTCCGAAAGGGAGGGAAACATAGGCGCAGCGCGGCCGAGACTAGGGCTTAAGAAAGGCACGAATCGAGAACATGGGGGGGGAGAGAGGTGGAGGGGACGGAGCGAATCAAGGGAAAGGGATGGAGACCCGTGAAGGGGGGTAATGGGGCAAACGTAAGATCGGTAGTAATGAGAAGGTGTAGAACGGAGAGAGCGCGGTGGTAGGAGGGAGGGGACGGGCAAAATGAGGATGGGGGGCATGAACAGTGGGTGCAAGGGACAAGCGAGAGGAGGCGGGGGAGGGGGCAGGGCAGGGGAAGGGGATGGAAAATGGATAAATTGAGTTATGGGGCGGGGCAGAAGATTGAACAAAGTGAGAAAGTGCAAGACAAAGAGGGTGGACACAGAGTGGTGGTAAGGGGGAGGGGAGGGGCGAAATGAGGATGGGGTACAAGAGCAGCAGGTACGAGGGGAGAGTGAGAAGAGGCAGGTAAAGGTGCAGGGCACGAGGAGAGCTGAAATGGGAGACAATGAGGGCAGGCACCCCGATGTAAAGGTTGAGGGCAGGAAGGATGGGGACGAAAAGGGCGAGGATGAGGGAGAAGAGGGCAGTAGGGCCTGAGAGCGACGGAGAGGGGGAAAGCGATGGCTAAGAGGTCGAGGGAGGGATATAACGTAAGGAGGGGGCGGACAGGCAGAGGGGATAAAGGGGGTAGAGCCGGGGAAGAGGAGGAGAGCTGGGCAGGGGAAGTGCGGTGGAGGGTGTGCGACTCAGCCAAGGGAGAGAGGGTGAGAGTGGGACGGCGAAAGAGATGAAAGGGGAAGGCGGGGGGAAAGACGCGATGTGCGGCCTCGGGGAAGGCATAACAAGGGCAGGGGCGAGGTGCACCGGGGGGCGGGGTAGAAAGGTGGATTAGGTGAAGGTCGTGGGGAGAAGAAACTCAAGCGGTGAGCGGGAGGGAAGGGGAGGGATCAAACGGACCAAAAGAGCAGGGGAGAAAAAGAGTCGTCATAAGGCCAGGGGAAGGGCTGAACAAGGGCGGGGGGGAGAGGATAGGAGTGGAGCAGTGGGAAGCAGGGGATGTTGGCTAAGGGGGATGCAATACCAGGAGAAAAAACGATTGGGGAGAGAAGGATAAATGGTGCATAAACAAGGGCAGAGAGAGGGGAAAGGGGAAAAACCATTAGCTTGCTATAGTTGTGCATTAGAGATGGTGCTTTTGTTGGTGAGGCGATGCCTGCGCTTGGCAGCGAAGGCAGCGTGGTCAGAAGTGTGGTGGTTGTTGGCACAGAGCGAGCACAGACTGGAGAATTTGAGAATCATCTGCGGCTTGTTCTCCCCCTGAAGAAGCTCAGAGGGGATGAGATTGAAGTTGGGGTCGACCGGGGTTGCAATGGTGATATCGGAAAGGTGGGTGAAATTAGGGATTTTGTACGGGTGGTAGGCACGGTGAAAGTCCGTCAGATCAGCAAGCCGATGATTGTCGTCAGCCTCAGCGAAGTTGAGCAGGAAAGAGTGTCTTTAGGATGTACTCCAATGGAACATTACAGATGGAGAGAGTGGTGACACCGGCGACTTTGGTAGCTGTAAACACCTCATTTCGATCCTCAAACACCTTCTAGAGGATGGGGAGGAGGGCTCTGATTCCTCCGAGGATCTCGGCTTGGTGGGTCTCCACACCAGCCTCGAGAAATAGAATTGTGACAACGACGCGACGGCTTGCCGGAAGGAGCATAGAGGCAGCCCAATGTCTTCAGGAGTGTATTCTAATGGAACATTATAGATGGAGAGAGTAGTGATAATGGCGGCTTTGGCAGCTGTAAAACCTCATTTTGATCCTGAAACACCTTCTGGAGGATGGGGCAGAGGTTCGGACGCCTTAGCAAGTGGGGAAAGAGGCCGCGGAAAGCCATCGCATCCGCTTGCAACGGCCAAGAGAAAAGCAGCAAGCGTATACTCGACGGGCAAGGCGAAGCAGTTCTCCAACCGTTGCTTCAATTTTGGAGATGATGCCAGAGCTACTGAGGAAGGCACTAATTCCAGCGAGGATCTCGACTTGGTGGGTCTCCACACCGGCCTCGGGTAACAACATTATTACAACGACGCAGCGGCTGGCCGGAAGGAGCATAGAGGCAGCCACAGCCGTGCGCGGATGGCGTGGGTTGCGGGACGATGCCACAGGACCGAGGATGGCAGTGCGCGAGGCGGGGATAGCGGGGGATGCGTCAAAGCCAGCGGCGGCAGAAGAGTGAGTTGAGGCCGGGGGCGCAGAGGCGGGTAGGGGTGTCGCGAAGCCCGGCAGTGAGGATGACGTGCCTTGCATCGCGGAGATGGCAGCCATTGCGGCAGGGGAAGTGGGGGGCTTGGCAGACCATACCAAGACCAAATAGGAGGGGGACATGGGAATGGCGGACGCAGAGACGGGCGTGGTAGTTGTTGGGTGCAAACATTTATTTTTGCATGTCAACCAGGTGCCTGCATCGCATTTTGCATTTTGTATATGTGCGCATTCTCATTCTTATTTTTTGAATGTGCTGTGCGCATTTGTCCTTGCATTCTGTGTGCCCCACTCCGACAGATCCTACTAGAAAAGTTCCATGATGTGGCATACGCAGGACATTTCGGGAGTAACAAGACATTCGTGGGATTAGCAAAGTGTTACTACTGGCCTTAGATGGCAGCGGACATGCAGCAGTCGTCACCTCATGCGACACGTGCCAGCGGATGAAAAGTAGCAAGCATAGAATAGTAGGATTACTTCAGCCTCTACCCATACTGGAGCAGCCACGGCAAGTCGTTAGCCTAGATGTTATTGCTGGGCTTCCTTCGACGTCACGAGGGCGTGATGTTGTAGTCGTGGTGACCGACAAGTGCTATAAACTAGGACATTTCATCCCGAACGCGACGGCTATTGCTAAAACAATTGTTCGCCTCTTCTTCGACCAGATCGTCACAATCCACAGCATCTCCGCTACATTCGTCTCAGGCAAGGACCCGAATTTCACGAGTACGTTCTTGAAGGGACTCAGGGGTTTGTTTGGGACAAAGCTTGCAATGCATTCAACGTACCACCCCCTGACTGGCGGATAAACTGTGCGACTCAATCCGGTGGTTGAACAGTTACTACGCACAGCTTGCAAAGATGACATCGGCCACTAGGATTGACAGTTACCGACGCTTGAGTTCGCTTACACCAACGCATCACATGCGGCCATATGAAAGCCTTCTTTCTTCCTGTGCTACGGACGGGAACCAATCATACCCCAGCTGCCAACCACACCGGTAGACGTCCAAGCCTCACACTAATTGGTCACTATCATGCAGCAGTTATGGGAGAAGACTCAGTGGCGAATCACCGTGAAGCAGCATGCTGGTCGACAATGATGAGATCACTCAGTAGCAGTCAGAGATCAGGTGCTTCTTGACACACGCAACTTGGACTTGTCTCATCTACCATCCAAGCTCCGACCTCGCTTCTGTGGTCTTGTCCGCGTTGAGGCCATGGTGACGCCTGTTACATTCCACTTGCGCTTAACGACAGCATCGAAGCTTCACAATTATTTCCAGATTCAGCTACTGAACCTACAAGGACCCCAACCAACTTTTCCAGGGATGACAGCTACCGCCACCACCACCTGTTCTCGTACAGAATGAAACAAAGTATGAGGTGGAATGTGTTCTCGCTCATCGACGCATACGCGGCAACATGCTCGAGTTCCTCGTACACTGGAAGGAATACAATCTGTTGCAGGACGGTTGGGTTGCAAAAACTGATAAGGGCAACGCACGCCATGCTCTCTGCGATTATCTTATCAAGCGGGGTGTTTCTCACGCCACCCAGCTTTGATGGGGGGACGTGTGAGAGTACGACGATTAGCCTTACACATATTTACTGTATTATGCATTATCTTGCTTTGCCTTAAATTATTTCGCATGCTTTGCTTATGTTACTTACTATATTATAGTTTTAGCACCATTGTAGGTTGCGTGCACCGGATTCTATGCATTTCAGTTATCACCTATTGTCAAACTTATATGATCTAGCCTGTGTAGGCTATAGCGGGTTAGACACTAAGGGGTACACAATTCTAGGGTTTCATATTTGCATCACTTTCATTCCTTAGTCATTCATTCTCATTCTAATCTTCACATGATATCAGAGCAGGTTCCCTAGTGGGAATGCTTCCTAGGGCCCACCACTAAAATTCGATTATTAAAAAAAAAAAAAAAAAATCTGCCCAGAGCGCGAGTCGCCCCTGCCCGAGGCGCGCCCCGTGGGCCGCCCTCCCGTCGCGTCGCCCCCCCTTAGAGGCCCCTCTCACGGCCCCTCGCGTCCCCTTAGCGGCCCCGTCGCTCCCCTAGCGGCCCCGTCGCCGCCCTTAGCGGCCCCGTTGCCGCCCATTGCGGCCCTCGTGCCGCCCTTGCTGCCGCGTCGCCGCCCTCAGTGGCCCCGTCGCCGCCCGCAGCGGCCCCGTCGCTGCCCGCAGCGGCCCCGTTGCCGCCCGCAGCGGCCCTGACACTGCCCGCAGCGGCCCCGTCACCGCCTGCAGCGGCCCCGTCGCCGCCCCTCACGGCCCCGTCGTCGTCCAGGGCGGCCCCGTCGCCGCCCTTTCGGCCCCGTCGCCGCCCTCCGCGGCCCTGTCGCCGCCCTTCGCGGCCCTCCGCGGCCCCTTTCGGCCCCTCGTGGCCCCTTCGCGGCCATGTCGCTGCTCGTTGCCGCCCCGTCCCCGCCCGTTGCGGCCCCGTAACCGCCCGCTGCGGCCCCGTCGCCGCCCTTCGCGGCCCTCCGCGGCCCCACTCGACCCCTCGTGCCCCCCCCCCCCCTCGTGGCCCCCCCTCGTGGCCCCTTAGCAGCCCTGTTGCCGCCCTTCGTGGCCCCTCCCGGACCCTTCCCGGCCCCAGCAGCAGCAGCGGCCACTTCTGCCGTGCAGCCGCCACCGCTGCCAACTGCAGCCGCTGCCACTGCCGGCCACCGCTGCCGCCGTCGCCACCCGCCGCTGCCGCCCAGGCCCTGCCGCTGCCGCAACAGCCGCTGTCGAGCCGCCGCCGCTGCCGCTGTCAAGCCGCCGCCGCGGTCGAGCCGCCACCGTCGAGCCGCCGCCGTCGAGCCGCCGCCGCTGACGAGCCGCCGCCGCCGAGCCGCCGCCGCTGTCGAGCCGCCGCCGCCGAGCCGCCGCCGCTGTCAAGCCGTCGCCGTCGAGCCGCCGCCGCTGTCGAGCTGACGCCGCCGTTGAGCCCTAGCCGCAGCTGGACTCTTCCCTTCTCGCCACTGGTGAGCACTGCCCTGCTGCTACTGCTCTTTCTACTGTTACTACTGCTCCTGCTGCTACTGCTCTTTCTACTGTTACTGCTGCTCCTGCTGCTACTGCTCTTTCTACTGTTACTGCTGCACCAGGCTTGGCCAGATGCAGCTCCAGCGCCGTCCGCGTGAGTCTCTCACGCACCAACAGCTTCGTGAGTGGTACGCTAGTTGGGGTTGTCAGGGAGGCCGTCGTCCTGGAATGAGTGGTTCGGGAGCTTCTTGTCGTGCCCAGGTGCAGCCGCAGCGTCGTCCGCGCGAGACCCTTTCGCCCCAGCAGCTTCGCGAGTGGTACGCGCAAAGTGGAGGTTCACTGAGTACTGCTCGCTGCCCGTATGTCATTCGCACGGGTGTCCAGACTGGTCAGCCTTGCGGGACTCCTGGCCACACAGAGTCCCGCTGCTTCGCCCGTTTGAGCGACGCTTGGCGTACAGTGTTCGGCGACGATGCTGAGCTCCCCTCCTGGCTGGAGCTACTTAGGCACAGGGTAGACTTCTTTGCTCTTAACTATGATTCTCTTCTCACTGCAATGTATGCATTGTCTACTAGTGCTGAGGGTGCCTGTCACCTGTGCGTGCCGCCTGACCCAGGTATCCAGTCTGCTGCTCAGGGTGCTGGTGAGGCTGCTGCTCTAGGTGCTCGTCCGTCTCCGGCTCCAGGTGTCGGTGAGGCTGTTGCTCTAGGTGCTCGTGCATCTCCTGCTCCAGGTGCTGGTAAAGCTGCTGCTCTAGGTGCTAGTGCGTCTCCTGCTTCAGGTGCTGGTGAGGCTGCTGCTCTAGGTACTAGTGAGTCTCCTGCTCCAGGTGCTGGCGAGTCTGTTCTCTCCGGTGCTGCGCCTGCTGCGGTCGTACAAACCTTCACCCGTGACTCGGGTGCTTCCCGCTCCTTCTTTCGAGACCGCACCACTCTCACGCCGCTTAGTCGGCCGGTTGCAGTCTCCCTGGCAGACCCCTCTGCGGGTCCTGTCCTTGCTCACTTCTCCACTGTCTTACCGTGTCCGGAGGCCCACTCTGGCACCCTGTCAGGTTTGTACCTCCCCTTGTTCTCTACGAACTTGGTGAGTGGTGCTGACCTACAGGATAGGGGGGTTCACCAGTTCACTCCTGCGAGTCAGCGAGTGACCCACTGTACGTGTGCTCGGACGGGCCGACACTTGGCCACGTTTACCCGTCAGCCGGGGTCGAGCCTGTACACACTGACTACTGAGTCTCCTCCAGTTACTTCATCTGGTCAGGTAGCTGCGTCGGGTCAGGTGTTTGCTGCAGCGTCCAGGTCTGGTCCTGAGTCTGCCCCCTGCTCGTGTCGTCTCCTGTCTCACCAGACTCTCCTCTGGCACCACCGCCTTGGTCACCCCTCCCGGCCTCATCTTCGAGGCATGAACTCTCGTGTCCTTGTCTCTGGTCTCCCCCGGTCCCTCCCTCCCCTTCCTCCGAAGCCTGCCCCCACCTGCGTTCCCTGCATCGAGGGGCGGCAGCGCGCTGCTCCTCACTCCTCCGAGTTTCCTCCGACAGAGGCTCCGCTGCAGACGCTTCACATGGACGTGTGGGGCCCAGCCCGCGTCCGTGGACAGGGTCACGAGCGTTACGTCCGACTACTCGCGTTACACCACAATCTTCCCCTTGCGCAACAAGGGTGAGGTGACTGAGGTGTTGATCGCCTGGATCCGCGCAGCTCGTCTCCAGCTCAGAGAGAGTTTCGGCTCGGACTTTCCTGTTCTGCGTCTGCACTCTGACAGAGGCGGAGAGTTCTCCTCTGACCTTCTGCGAGCCTTATGTCGTGCACGAGGCATCCGCAAGACCTTCACGCTTCCTGCCTCTCCACAGCAAAATGGGATTGCTGAGCGCCGCATTGGCATGGTCATGGACGTCGCTCGTACGTCCATGGTCCATGCGGCTGCCCCCCATTTTCTGTGGCCGTTTGCGGTTCGGTACGCAGCGCATCAGATCAACCTTCAGCCCCGGGTCTCCATGCCAGAGACCTCCCCTGCTTTGCTGTGGACAGGGAAGGTTGGCGATGCGTCTGGGTTCCATGTCTGGGGATCTCGGGCGTTTGTCCGCGACTTGTCTGCGGACAAGCTGTCCTCTCGTACTGTTCCCTGCGTCTTCCTTGGCTTCCCCCCTGACGCGCCGGGCTGGCAGTTTTACCACCCCACCTCGCGCCGTGTTCTGTCCTCCCAGGACGTCACGTTTGACGAGTCGGTTCCCTACTACCGTCTCTTCACCTACCACACTGCATCCCTCCCCCCCCCCTGCTGCTCTTCCTTACGCCAGGTCCTCCTCCGGTAGACCCCCTCCCCCCTCAGGGTCCTGCCCCCTCAGGTGTGTGTCAGGTAGACGTAGTCGACCCTGTCGAGGTAGCTGTTGACTCTGGTGCTGCTAGGGGTGCTGAGCCTGCGGGTGCTGGGTCTGGGGGTGCTGAGCCTGGGGGTGCTGACTCTGGGGGTGATGCGCCTCGAAGTGCTAAGCCTGGGGGTGCTACGCCTAGGGGTGCTGCGTCTGGGGGTGCTGAGCCTGGGGGTGCTGCGTCTGGGGGTGCGGAGTCTGAGGGTACTGGACCTACTCGTGTGGCGTCTGGCGATGCTGGGCCTGGAGGTTCTTCGGGTGCTTCGTCCCGGCGGGAGCTACTCTCTCCACAGAAGCTGCGTGAGTGGTTTGCACGGCGCTGGAGGCAAGCTCCTGGAGCTGGAGGTGCTGCGGGTGCTGGAGGTTCTGATGCTGCTGAGGGTGCTGGTGCCGCGGGTCCCGGAGGTGCTCGTTCTGGGAGTACTGGAGCTGCTGGGCCTGCGGGTGCTTCTCGTACTGGAGCTGGTGGAGCTGCGGGCGTCGGTGCTACTGAGGGTGCTGGAGCTGGACCCGCTGCGTCTTCTGGTGGTCCTCTGGTGCTAGTGCCTCTTAGGGTACTGGAGTTGGGGCTGCTGGAGCTGGGGGTGCTGCTGGCGCTGGTGCTGTCGTTCGGGCTGCTCGTGCTGTCCCTTCAGGTGCTGGTGGTGCTGAGCGGCCGCGGTCGTACTTCGCTCCGCTCCTTGAGCAGGTCCTTGGTCTTCCGCCCTCTGCTAGTCCGGCTCCTCCCTTAGAGTATCCACCGCCTGTCCAGTCCGAGTCACAGTTACAGCCTACCTCTCCTCTGCCTGCTCCTTCTCCCTACACTGGTCCTACTGGAGGTCTTGCTGAGCGTCGTGAGCCTGCGTCTTGTCCTGCATTGCCTATCCGTGCTGCTCGCACTAGTGGTTGTGGTTCGCGTCAGTGTCCTCCCCCTGTCCCCGGCACACATCGAATGTCTCTGCGTCCCTCCACTGCTCCGCTGCGTGCCCCTTTGCCGTCTCCTCTTGCGTCCTCTCTTCCTGTTCTTGCTGACCCGGTGTCGGACTCCCTTTGTGCTGCCAATCCTACTGTCACGCGTCTTCTTGCTACTGTCGTCACTGACCCTTCCTTTGAGTCCGCTGCTGCGTCTCCCTTAGTTTCTGAGCTTGTCGACTTCGCTGCTCACTGTCGCCTAGACTACGCTGCTAGTCTTTTCCCTGAGTATGTGTCTGTCTATCCTCCGTCCGTCAGGGGTGAGTGTGCCCTTGGCACGGACGTCCTTGAGGACAGGCAGGAGGAGTTCCAGTGCTTTGCTGCTGCTTCACCTCATCTCGTGTCCATGCTGCTTGCCCCTGAGGGAGACCCGGATGCACCAAACATCCCGACTCCGCGCTCTTACGCGGAGGCGATAGAGGGTCCGTACTCCTCTCAGTGGCAGGCAGCCATGGATGCAGAGATGGCTTCCTGGAAGTCCACAGGCACCTACGTCGACAAGGTTCCCCCTCCCGGGGCGAACATCGTCAGTGGCATGTGGATTTTCAGGGTGAAGCGGCCGCCGGGTTCTCCGCCTGTCTTCAAGGCGCGTTACGTGGCTCGTGGCTTCAGACAGCAGCAGGGAGTTGACTACTTTCAGACCTTCTCTCCCACCCCGAAGATGACCACTCTTCGGGTACTACTGCACATAGCCGCTCACCGTGACTACGAGCTTCACTCTCTTGACTTCAGCACTGCTTTCTTGCAGGGCAGCCTGCACGAGGAGATCTGGCTGCGCCGCCCACCTGGCTTCACTGGGTCTTTTCCTCCTTGTACCCAGTGGAGCCTCCGGCGGCGAGTCTACGGTCTCCGCCAGGCGCCACGTGAGTGGCACGACACACTGAGGACTACACTTGCGGCTCTTGGGTTTGCTCCTTCTACTGCCGACCCGTCGCTGTTTCTGCGCACCGACACTTCTTTGCCGCCGTTCTACATCCTTGTGTACGTCGACGACTTGGTCTTTGACACAGCTGACACTGCTGGACTCGCCCACGTGAAGTCCGAGCTGCAGAAGAGACACACGTGCACAGACCTCGGTGAACTGCGCAGCTACCTTGGCTTGCAGATCACCCGGGACAGAGCACGGCGCACCATTACCCTGACTCAATCACACATGGTGTAGCAGGTCCTTCAGCGCTTCGGCTTCACGTACTCCTCGCCTAAGGCCACTCCTCTGTCTACCCGCCACTAGCTCTCAGCTCTGCCTTCAAATGAGTCCGTAGAGTCGAGTGGCCCGTACCCAGAGCTTGTTGGTTGCCTCATGTACCTGATGACCTGCACTCGACCTGACCTTGCATACCCTCTTAGCATTCTTGCACGCTATGTTGCTCCTGGGAGACACAGACCAGAGCACATGGCTGCAGCGAAGAGGGTGTTGCGCTACTTGTGCAGTACGTCGGGCATGGGGCTTGTGCTTGGAGGGCGGAGTCCAGTGGTCCTCACTGGTCACGCAGACGCTTCTTGGGCTGACGACCAGGCTACGCAGCGATCGTCACAGGGTTACACCTTCAGCCTTGGTTCCGGCTCTGTTTCGTGGCGGTCTACCCGCTCGTCTTCTGTTCTCGGCTCCAGTTGTGAGGTTGAGATCTAC